CTTGGGAGAAACTGAAATATTTACTATTTCAATTTATATTCTGCTACATTAGCCCACATCTGGACTCTCTGAGTGGCCTACAAACAATATGACTGAGCTCCATTCTGGATTAACAGATTTTACCTCTACCTCTTACTTAACTCTACTTGCCCTTATGCTATCTACTCATGAGGACTAGAAACACATTTTTATAAATTAGAACAAAAATCCCAAATGCTGTGAATTTTCAGCCTGGCTTGATAGAGTTGTTGGGAGAAATAAAATGGCATTGGCTCATGTGAGCTGCTGCCCTGAAGATCTTTGGAGGGAGAGGGAGATACAGAGGTCACTTGTAAATCTGTTCCAGTGCTTGCGTGTGTTCTCAGTTCCAGAATTTAAATTCCTTCCAAACTAACAGCCGAAACAGTTTGTGTTCCTTAGTGTCAGGTTTTAGCTTGTGCAGTCCACATCAATTACATCGTAACTGTGAAAGATAGCAAGCTTGTTTATGGAAAATGTAGGGCTGTTCTTGATTTGTGTGCTCCACAGATTCACGTCTGTGGTCATTCTCCTTTTCTTCCCTTGCGGTTTCAGCTCAAAGTCTTTTTGACTAAAGTCCGGGTGGGCTGAAGGCAGATCTAGAGCGAAAGGTAGATTAGAAGCACAGTGCTGAAATGAGGCCAGCTTAGGGTGACCAGGAGTGGATTTTTTTGTCCAGAGGGTTAGTTCTCATTGGGCTGACCCAAGGGCCAAATGCCATTTTGGAGTTCTCCGGGGCTCCATCCAGCAGTGGATGGAACCAAAGGCAAAGGGGAAGGATGGAAATACCAAAAATGCCAGCATATTTTAGCCTGAAGCGCCGACTGCCGGTAACTAGGCGTTAGGAGAGGAATTACAGCCTTTGAGGAGGGCAGGACCTGAACAAGGGACCATGGCACAGAGTCTGACTCCGTGGCTCGATGTGTGATGTGGGGGGGGGGGGCAGAGCCTCTTCCAGCCCAAGGGCCAAGTGCCATTTCAGAGAAATTTTCGAGGGTCGCAGCCCAGTGACAGTTGGTCCCAGGGACAAAGCAGAGGGGCACCAAAAGACAGAACTATCAACATAATGTGGCTTTAAAGCGCTTACTGGCAGTAGCTAAACATTAGGGAAGGTTTCAAGCCTTTTGGAATGGGCTCGTTAAGGGAAGGTCCATGGGGCCAGGTGGATCTGGCCCATCTGCAGGAGCCAGACAGCCGGAGCAAAGGGGCTATATTTATTATTATTATTATTATTATTATTATTATTATTATTATTATTATTATTACATTTCTATGCCGAAAGCTCAGAGGCCTATTACATTTCTATGCCGAAGCTCAGAGGCCTAAAGTTTCCCACCCTTGAAGAAAATGGACAGCTACAAAATGTGGTGGTGGTCAGTGCTTAGACAGCTTTGAGAGGAGGCGGTACCATGCGTGGGAATGTGGAATCCCTCAGAACTTTTGACCTACAACTCCCATCAAACCTAGTCTATAGCGGTAACTCCATGATCTACCAAATTATGCAACTGAGAATCTACTGCATACCTAAAGGCCACTATCCACTTGGGCACCAATGAGAGCATAAACTTATGCTGCACTAACCCAGGCTCAAAGGCAGACACCCCAAATCTTACGTTTTCCATGGGTCATGTTGGTGAGCCAATACGGAAAATTCTGCCCTAGTCTCGAGAGCAGAAAGGTATCTCGGACTTCCGCTTCTGAGACGCCTTTGCACATACGGCCAATAGGCAGGAGTGCGGAGAGGCGAGATCCAAGTATCTAGCTATTTCTGCCCACCCCAGCCCTAGAAATGTGCTGCCAGCCAGAGTGGCCGTTGCTATTCTGTATGCCACGGGATGAAGAAAAAGGACTTCTCTGTGCAAGACATTTATCGTCCACTCATTCCTTTACAGGTTCTTTAGAACACATTGTGATCCTCCAGGTTTGTGTCTGTTTTTTTCCAAGCATTTTATTTTAGAAAGTGGAAAATGAGCTATTGCATGACCGGTGTATGTGCGCTATTCCATTGTAGGACAGCTCCACCCAGAGGCTGTGAGCTTCTCTACATTTATTGTACTCTTACGATTCTTCAGTGGTTTGTGGGTACTTAGCAATATATCGTCATCCACCCTCAGGGTTTCTCCCGTGCTTTCTGAGCATTTCCAGGGCTTTTTGTTAGAACAAGTATAAAGAGTTGTTTAAAAGAAAATGCTATGAAAGGATCATACATGCATGCAATACTACTGTGCTGCAGTGCCACCTTGTGGTTGTGTGATGGAACAGATAAAAAGGCAAAGAATGAAAAACCTATAAGGGAAAAATATGGAAACGAGCCGATCTTAATCCACAAAGACTCTGGACACAGAATTCTGCCTCAGAGGGGCTAAAAGACTCATGCAGTAAAGCCCTGCGTAGCACAAAAGCAGGACTGGAATGGTTCTGCTTGTGGTGCTAGGATCTCAATGCTGAAACGAGAGCAAAAGCAGAAGGAAATACTGTGATTAATGGCATGCTAAATGATAATTTACTGTGGAATTGTGGTGCCTCGACATGGTTAGCCCCCAACTTTGGTCAGCCCCCATTAGTATGCCAAAGGTAAGGTTTGCTGGAAGCTGTAATAGACTGCAAGTACCCCCTTCCTCCTCCCCTCCAATCTCTGTGGAAAATAGGATGCAGGGTGAGGCAGGAATTTAAGAACCATGCTGGATCAGACCCAAGCCTACAAGCAAGAGATGTGCGCCAGCACCCCACCTGTTCGTGTTCCCCAGGATCCGATATTCGGAGACATGCTGCACAGAACCACCTCTATGCCCTGTTCCCCTGGACCTGTCATATCGCCACTGTGCCCACGGTTCCTCATGTCAGGCTCTGGATTTTCCCTATAGCTACTGTGATGCAACGTAAATCAGTCTCGAACTGAATCTTAACTTCAAATGGGTTCCTTTGTCAAATCCACAAGTTTACCTGGAATAAACCCTGCTTGGAACTAACTTCCTGCTGCCATCTTGTGACCAAGCTTGGTATGGCCGCACATTCATATTTAGCCTATATATTTTCAAAGAGCTTTGGACATAATCCATCATAGGCTTCTGCACAAAGGCTGGAGTCACGGGATTAAAAAGGTATAGTAAATGATTAAATAACAGTAAGCAGATAGTAGGAATAAACAGATGCTTCTAATAATGGATGCAATCAGTGAGACCTGTGGAGATCTGCACTGGACCAGAGTTTTTAAATTGTGCATAAACATCTGGAATCAGGAGTGAAGTGGCCAAATTTCTGATGACACCAAATTATTTAGAGAGGTAAAAATGAAAAGTGATTGTGAAGAATTCCAAGTGAATCTCTCCAAACGCGGGAGAGCGTTAAAATGCCAAATGCAGTTCAATGTAAGCATGTGTGAAATGATGCACATTTGGGGGGGAAATTCTTCCTATTCTGTATTTACTGGAGGGGTCTGAGTTATCATTAACCAACCTTTGGTGCATAACTCAATCAAAAAGTCAGTGAGCTGCTTTCATGATTAAAAGCTAATTCCATCTTGGGGATCATTAGGGAAGAAATAACAATGTCCATATCATACAAGAGTTAGGAAAGGTACAGAAAAAGCCAAGCAAAATTACCCAGGATCTAGAAGTCCCCTGTGATGAAAGGTTACAACAGCTGGCACCGTTAAGCAAAAAAGGAAATTCTTTATAATTATGCATAGCATACAGAAAGTAAATAGAAAGGTGGGTTTCTGAATCTAATCTCCATTTCTGAAAGCACAAAGCTTGGCTGTACCTCTGAAATGCCTCTTGCCTTGAGCAGAGGTGCAGAGAAACATGGTCAGTTGTAAGATAGGAAAGTCAGTCAGTTAAGGCAAATTTGTAAATAGGAACTTATGAACAGGACCTGTTCACACGCAGAGAACTTCTGAAATCAAGGGCTCCACAGCTTTAGGGCCACAAGTTCCCTACACCAGGCTTAATGGCACGCCTCACTAAATGTGCCCCGAACACCTCATTGCCACCAGAAAACGGCAGCAGTTTAACCCCTCTGGCCTTCCTTATAATTCCCAGTGGAACCTCCTCCTGTCTCCTATCACAGGCCCCATCTTTCAGCACCGGTGTGACATAGTGGTTAGAGTTTCAGCCTGGGCCTTGTGACATTCTGGCTCTCGCCTCCACTCACTGGGTGCCTTTGAGTCAGTAATGGACTCTCAGCATGAAGTAACCTCGCAGAGGACTTGTGAGTATCAATGGAGTAGGTGGCCACCCTATCAGCCACCTTGGGCTCTTGGGAAGAAGAGAGACAGGATATATAGAATAAATGAATACACCTTTGCCCAAGGGCAGATCTTTGGCCAAGTGTGTTAGCCATCAAGACAAAAGGCAGTAGCTGCGCTGGAAGGACCCCGTCCTTTAATGGAGAGCAAAGCAGCCTTCCCCAGCCTGGTGCCCTCCAGATGCTCTGGGCTACGGCAGCCACCGCCCTTGACCACTGGGCTTGCTGGCTGGAGCCGATGGGAGCTAAAGGTCAAGACATCTCGACTGTACCAGGTTAGAAGTGCTGAGCTAGGGCTGAATTGGGGAGCTCCGGGTTCAAACCCCCACCCAGCCAGTGTAGAGATGACAAGATGGTCTTCACCTTCACCTACTTCATGGGATAAAATGAGGTCAGGCAGAACCATTTGGGGCAATTCAGGGCTATGCACAGGAGAGGCAAAACCCCACTGAGCCCATTATTACAGGGAGATCATTCATACACAACTTGATGTGCATTCTGCAATTTAGCATTCTGTGGGGCTTGGCCTCCACTCATTGATAGGAGGGGGAAGACAAGGTTCTAGGCTCAAAGGCATGTGAACTATTATTCCAGCCGAACTCCCACCACTCGGAGGGGGGAACTGAGCAGGGGATCAAGCAGTTAATTAAAAAGTCAGTACCTCCCGCGGTGCATCTCCACCTTGCCAAGACAAACAGAAACAGTTCTACAAAACAGGCAAACATACACAGGCTTGCTGAATTCAAAAAGTTTATATATACAATTCCCCAAATCCAGCTCTTCTTAATGCAGATTCTTTCCCAAAGCACATAAGTACACACAAATTCTGGTCTTTGCCCAGGAGCTGTCACTACTAAGCCCAGAACTGTGGGAGAATAAACCTCCCCCTCCCGTCCACAGCAGAAAAGATTCTTTGGAAGAGCCACATTTCAGTCGCTTGTGCTGCCAAGGCCACGCTCCGCTGCTCCTTCTTGCTAGTGGAACTATGGCTCCCCTTCCACAGACGCGGTTCCCAGGCACCCTCCGCTCTCCCCCACCATTCTGCATCTGACTCATGCACAACGGCATTACCTCCATGCTTGGCTACTAATGCAGTGCGTTTTTAACATACCAAGGGCTGTACATGAGATATACAAGAATGATGCAGAACCTCAGACCTTGGCACCAAAGCCGACAGCCGCGCTCTCTTCCCCAGGCCCCATCCCTCTTCCCCAGCCAGGGATCAGCGAGTGATTTCCCAGCTTTTGTGCAGTTTGTGCCCCCTTCAAAAGGGCTGAAAGCTCTGGCAGTAAGAGCTTTAAGCGAACAGGTGCTGGTATTTTGGTCCTGCCCCTTTTTGCTTCAGGCCCTGCTGGAAGGGTATCACTAAAGTGGAACTGGACCTCCAGCCAGAAAGAAACTCTGCACCCCAACATGTAGGGTAGTTTGGAGTAGTCAAACCCACAGTTCTGTTGTGGGATCTTGATTTCACCTCATCCCCAAAGGTACCTTTCAACTGGAAATATCTGTGAAGTCAGAATTACTTGCTTAATATAGAAACAGAGTGAGTCAGAAGGGGCCTCCTGGGCCATCTAGTCTGACCCCCGGCTCTAGCTGGCTCCGCTCACAACATGCCTACCATGTGCATGGCTAGCCTGTCCTTGAGCTTATCCTTAAGCATTGGTCCAGCCTCAGAAAATATAAATACACGTGTGGGAGAATTTCTGTAATTAGCAGAAAAGAAGTAACAGCAAGTACAACTGCTTCATTCAATTCCTTCCCACCACCACACCTCAGCCTGTGCTAGCAGCTGCATGGCCTGTTGATGCCAGGCATTTAAAGTTTCACCATGTAAATATGAAATCCAGTCTGTGCAGTTGTGCGCAGCTCTGCAGATGTACAGATGACAAAACAATCAGGACATACTATTGTGCACAGCTGTGCAGCTACACACTTGAAAAAGGACAAGGAGCAAATTCACACATATGCACACAAAAACCCAATGATCCAAAAAGCAAAATTGGGTGCACAGGAAAACAGTGGCCTAAAAGTCACCAAAGGAGAGGCAGTCAAGATCACGGACGGCAAAGGACGGGGAATGGTGGAAACTGATACCAAAGTGAAAGATGAGGCAGAAGGTTCCTTGAGCTTGCAGGGCAATGTTGCAGGAATGGGAAGGTGGGGAAGATCAAAATCAGGTGAGAAAATAACAGGTCGGAGAGTTGGGAATTCCAGAATGCAACGGGGTGTCCTGACAACTCTGCTACACATGAAATCTGAGTGTGCAAGACATCAAGATTAAGGAGACATGCTACTGTGCATCTCTCCCAGGAAGTTGTACTCAGTCAGATGATGCATCCATCTAACTCAGTATTGTCAACACAAACTGGCAGCAGCTCTTTGTGGTTTCATGTAGCAGCTTTCCCAGCACTACCTAAAGATACTGGGGATCAAACGTGGGGCCTTCTGTTCTCAAAGCAGGTCTGCTAACACTTAAGCTCCAGCCCATCCCTCTCCCGTCGTCTAGAGTTAACTTCTTTAACTATGACAGGCCTTGCGGCTCAAGTCTAAGAATCCCAGCAATGGAGGGACAGGGGATCTCTCTGTTCTACAGCAGGAATGGGCAGAAGATATGAATATACTAGCAGGTTGTGGGGTAATTTGTAGTAGAGCAATAAAGATTTCTGACTCCCCAATCTTTAATTCTAGCAGCAACAAAATGACAGAATTTTAGCACCTCCACCCCAAATTATACCTTGGGATCACCCAGGTTGACTTTTTGTGTAGTGAACTGTAAGCTCTATTTAAGAACAGGACAGAACTCTTTTTTTCTTGAGGCTCGTCAGGGGATCTCGGGGTTCTACTGAAAAAATCAAGTGAATCCTGCAAGGCTGAGGTTGGCCCAGCCCTCCCTCAGACCATTTGCTGATATTGCCACAAGAGTTTCCCACACAGATGAAATATTTTGTTCTGCCCCGAGAAGTGAAACAGCGGAGAATTGCTTACAAAGGAGGGAGAAAAGCTGATACAGGGCCAGTTTTGAGACGTGGATTAAATCTGCTCCAGTTCCCCAGCCCGAGAATCTTCCCCACCTCTTCATTTTTTCAGTCCCATTCTAAGGCCAGTTCCATCAAATCCAAGAATGAAGAACCATCCCTTTGAGGTTTTCTAGAAGGCCATGTTCCCTTATCCACAATCATCAATTGTTTGGTGGTTTCCTGGCACTTGTGCAGTTTTTTCCCCTTTCTGAAAAGTAGAAATACCCCCTTTTTAAGGCCTAGTTACCGGCACGCAGAACTTCTAGCCACAAGATTTAGCTATTTTGGGCCCTGCTCTCTTTGTCTTCAGCCCTGCCCACCATGGGAATGTGGCCTCCAAGATCTTCTCTGAACACTCGGGGGGGGGGGGGGAGAATACTCTTGATCCACAGCCAGAACCCACAGAGGTCCACCAGATACCTCCTGGGAAGCTTGCTTGCAGGAAAGAAGTGCCACAGTTGGCTGTCACTTTTATCCGTAGCAACTAATATACAGAGGAACAGTGCCTCTCAACCTGTCATTGCTGATCTTGTCTGTTCGGTTTCTAGGGACAAGATTTGGGCTGTGTCTGTGCAGTGGGCTATTCTGCACACTGATTGCACTTCAGAATGTTCAGAACATACGTATTTTCTTCGTAATCTCTACAAACAGTGATCTAAGGTAGGCCAGGATTATTGCCCTCCTGCTGCTGCGGAGCGAACGGGCAGCCCTGGAGGGAACAGTGATTCGCCAATCCAGAAGGCACCTAGTGAGTTTTATGATGGACTTGACATGTGAGCTTGAGGCTCAGAGTGAAGGATCACAACTCAGTTCTTAAGTGCCAGGCTGGCTATACAGGACACAATTCTATGCCTGTTTAGACAAAAGAAGCCCTTAAAAGGGATGGTTTTCTGTCTTGCACACATATAAGGTGATTCAGAGCAATCTGAAACTTGAAAGCAAACCAACTGCTCATTTTCCCCCACTGCCTGATTTACTTAAGGTCCACCCTGATGCAGAATTCTAGAAAACTTGAAAGTCTGTGTGCTATTTTATGACATTATCGGTTGCCTGACTGTGGATTTTGGAGGATTTCTTTCCTTACGGGACCCATACAGCTACACTTTGCTTTTTGATGATCTGTCTATCATCCAGCTTTCCACTTCCCATGGAGTTCAATGAGAAGTTTCCTGAGCAGCTCAGCTTTACCTACCTGGTACTCAGAGGTATACTATGTCTGAACCTGGAGGTTCTATTTAACTACTGAATGGCTAAATAGCAGCCCAAGCAGATTTTATGAGAAGGAGCCATTTTGGTGTTTTGGGGAGGCTGCCTAAGACAAGCTTTGGAGGACCTCTGTTTTGCACTAGAATTTATTCTGCTCCTAAAACTAATTGAAAATATAAGCCTGAAATCTCACTTCCATCCCTCTGACTACCCTATTTTTTCTCCCTACCTCTATTTTCCAAACCACCAGACTAATCCTATATCCTTCCCTATTTCTCACTTCCTGCCTGCACTGCGCAGGCCTGCAAATCCCAACTTCTTAGGGACTAGCACCCTTTCTGTAAGTATCACAGCAGACCTCTCTATATGACCAGAACAGGCTACATAAGGAACAGAAGAGGCATCAGTCACAGAGGCGATACCCTTCCTGAGACATTGCTGGGACCCTGCTGTGCTTCAAAAGAATTTCCCAGGCTGTGACTCCCAGTCGAATGTATTCTCTGATGTGTAGTCAGGGTAGAGTGGGAATTGAAGCTCCGCCCACATTCGTTGCAGATGTATGGGGTATACCCTGAGTGCGTTCTCATGTGTCTCGTGAGCTTTGAGCTGGATATGAACCTTTTTCCACACTCAGTGCAGCCATATGGCCTCTCTCCTGTGTGGACTCTCTGATGTGTGTTGCGGGTTGACAAGTGGCTGAAGCTCTTCCCACACACATTGCAGAGGTAAGGCTTCTCCCCCGTATGGATTCTCTGGTGTTTGCTGAGGTTGGAGCTGTAACTAAAGCTCTTCCCACACTCAGGACAGCTGTATGGCTTCTCACCAGTGTGGACTCTCAGGTGCTTTGTAAGGTCCGAATTCTGTTGGAAACATTTCCCACAGTCTGGGCAACCATATCCAAATGGCATCTCTTCCATGTGGATCCTCTGGTGAGTGATGAGACCCCGGTGCTGGCTGAAGCAGGCCCCACACTCTGAACAAACATAGGGCATCTCTCCAGTGTGAGTCCTCTGGTGGATAAGAAGGTTGGAGCGCTGCGCAAAGCATTTCCCACACTCTGGACACTGGTGTGGCTTCTCCCCTGAGTGAATTCTCTGGTGCTTGAGAAGGTTCGAGCTCTGACGGAAGCATTTCCCACACTGAGGACACGGGTAAGGCTTTTCTCCAGTATGGATTCTCCGGTGAATAGTGAGGCTTGAGCGTTGCGTAAAGTGCTTCCCGCAGTCGGGGCACTGATGGGGACTCTCTGCTGTGTGGACTCTCTGGTGTTTAACAAGACCTTGGTTCTGGTGGAAAAGCTTTCTGCTGTCAGGACTCTGGAAGTTCCTTTGTGCTGCCTGCAGTCTGCTGCTAGGACCCTTCAGCCCATTTTCAGCGCTTCCGTTAGCCTTCTTCTCCATACCAGCACCACTAGAACTGACTGAGTCTGAAAAGGAAAGAGAAAAGAGATCTTACGTTTCCCAATGAAATTTATTTCCAAAGATGCCAAGCAGAGAGGAAATCTGACAAGAGCCAAGAGGCTTTTCAAAGGGCAGAACAAACAGGGCTGAGAAACATCTCCCACCTAACTTCCAGTAAAATGGTTGAACTGTTTCTAAGCTGCACCACTCCGGAAGAGATGGCGCATCCCATAAACCAGAGACAGGGAACTGTGAGGCTTCACCACCAATCCTGCACACCTCTTCTGTTCTCACCTCTTATCACTGACTGGAGAGAAGACTGCATTTAAGTGCAGCCAGCTTTTAAATACCCCGCAAAGCAGCAAAGGGATTTGCAGGCAGAAGAGCTGCCTGTTTGTCGGCAGACATGGTTTTTGGGGTGCTTTTTGAAAGTGCATGCTCCTAGGCTCGGCCAGCGTGCCTTTGGCTCTGCCCTCAGATAGAATGTGGCCCTGAGACCTTTCAATTTGACTCTTGTGCTAAAAAAGGTTCCCCGTGCCTACCACATCCCTGCACTCAACTCAGCTCTCCAAGTGCCATTCCAAGGCAGACCTATCCATTCATCAAAGGCAGGCATAAGCAGGCTTGGGGGAACCCCAATGTTTGCAGGAGTCCCCCCTTTTTTAAATAAAGGGGAGAAATTGCCTCAAAATGGTCCCAAGAGAATTGAGCATGGAGTGTGGAAAGACCGGAGAAGTGTGTGCGGAACGGAGCGTGGCACCCTGGAAAGGAGCCCCACTGTCCGATGTCCGGCACAGGACTGTTCTGTTCAAGACCCCACGTGTAGGGGTCTTGTTTCCACCGGGGCAGGTGGGGGTGAGAACTGGGCCCCCCTGCATGTAGTAAGCTAGCATTGCAGGGTGAAGGCTGTTCCTTGAAGGCAGTATTTGTGCCTCACATTGGCCTGGATGCAGGAGGTCCCCACTCGCAGTGGCATAACCCAAACCAGAAAACTCCACGCTGCCTCCTGTCTGAGAGTCCCTCAGATATGTGAAGACCAGCATCCTGCATCCCTGCAATCGTTTCTTCTGCGCCCATCTCTCTGGATTGCTTTTGTCCCCTTTGGGTGGGTGTGCCTGTGCCAACACCCCGGCTTCCCCAGGCATACTGGCACCTCCCTCTTGTTTCTCAGCGGCCATGTTTGGCTGCACCCTGTCAGGAGACTTTCCTACCAGAGGGCTCTTTAAGAACCACAAATATCAAGCCTCTGGGAGAGAGGACGCCCTGGCGGAAACCCCTTTACGGAACCCCAAAGGACCCTGAGCCCCTGGGGCAGTGAGCGCTTACCCAATGCTCGGGCACCTTCTTGCTTCACCTCTCTGCACGTCTGCTGCAGCCCGGCGCCTACGGACGAGTGCTTTGTCTCAGGCCTGCTCACAACCTGGGCTTCCCGTGTCTGGAAAGGCAACCAAACAGATGCATGCATGACGCCGCCTCCCACTGGTCTGTTGGGCAAAGCCAGCACTGGGAGCAGGTCCAGCCAGGCAATTGCCAAGGGCCCATACACCAGCTCTGGCCCGCTGGCCAGGATACTGCCTATACCCTGTGCCATTCGCTCTCCACAGTCTGAGGCAGAATGCTTGCCCATCCCCTGAAGCTCCAGAAATCCACCCCGCCGGGGCTTCTGAAATTTCAGCACCTGTTGCCCCAAACACTCATGCACCTTCTCATGATCCTAAGGCCTAGGAACAAGCTCTCCAAATGAAAAGGAGAAGCAAAAGATTCTCGGGAATGCTGCCTCTTCTCTCCTTCTTCGCCCTTCTGCAAGCTTGGGTTTGGCTGAACTGCACACGCCAGCTGTGGCAGAGCTCTTGCTGCCAACCCTCACCCAAGACTAGAGGGACTCACCTGCTTCTCCCTCCTTTCGGCCTCTCGCCGCCGCCGCAGGAATGCCTCTGCCAGAGGCACTGCTTGGGCACACGTCTCTGGGCCATGCTCCCTTACCCAGCTCTGGATTTCCTGGGGCAGGAGGCTCAGGAACTGCTCCAAGACCAGGAGGTCCAAAATCTGCTCCTTCGTGTGCTTCTCCGGCTTCAGCCACCCCCGGCAGAGCTCCCGCAGTTGGCTGCACACCTCCCGGGGGCCCCTGGCCTCGTGGTAGCGGAACTGCCGGAAGCGCTGGCGCTGCGCCTCTGTCCGGATGGCGTCCACCTTCAAGATGGCCGCCTTGACTTTGGCATACTCCCCTCTGTCTTGGAGGCTGAGGCTGCTGTAGGCTTCCTTGGCCTCTTTGCTCAAGACTGGCAGCAGACGAGCCAACCATTCCCGCCTGGGCAGCTGGGAGGTCCCGGCCAGCCGCTCAAAGGAGGCAAAGAAGGCCTTGTTATCCCCCCACGGCGCACCCTCCTCTGTCAGCTGTGGGCTTCCCCACCCCAAATGCGAGGACTGCATGGCCAGAAGGAACTCCTGCCACTGCGCTTCCCAGTGCTCCGGCAGCTCCTCCTCCGGTTCCTCTTTCACCTGCAGCGGCGCAGCCCAGTTGAGGAACTCTCGGATGGTTCCAACCTGAATGAGGCGGGGCAATTTCCCGGCTTTTTCTGCTCCCTCAGCAGGTTTGTGGCCCACTGGGTCATGGTCCTCCATTTTGACAGCCGGATGCTCTGAGGCAACCTGGGTCTGGGAGCCTTCAGCTTCTTTAGATCTTTGCTCTGCAGCCATTTCCTCTCAGAGGGGTGCAACAGGCCCGTGTGTGGCAGAGTCCCCGGTGTTTAAGTCAGGCCCTCACTGGAAACTGGTCTGACTGTCCAGGACAGGTCTTCTCCCTCTCTAATACGGACAACAGAAGAGGCTCTTTTCCATTGGATTTTATTCAGGATAGGCCTGGAGTGGGATTTTAAACAAGCAGCTGGGCACACAACATCCTTAAACCTCAAGGACAGGTTCTTTCTGGGGGAAAGAAAGAGACAGAATGTGAGGAGGACAACAGATGATGGCCTTCACCCAAAACAGATGCAAGAAATGAATAAATACCTTCTTTGAGGAATTATGTGATCTCTGGATCATGCCAATAAGGGAGTCAGCATCTGAGAAGAATGTTAAATAGACCAAGCCACAGGCCGTGAAAAGAACTTACAAGACTTAATCCGGAGAGAACAAGATGTCTAAGATAAACGGCTCTTAGCCGATCGAAAGATTGCTTGGGAGTCCTCCACTGAGCAGGGAGTCGGCCCCACCGGCCCTCTGGCCCCTTCCAACTCTACTCTTCTATGATTCTCAAAGCCAACCACAAAACTGTATTCTATTAACCAGTCACAGCCCACGAAATGGGTCTGGGAGCAGACTGCCGAATGGGACTGGGTCGTCATCAACAGCAAACAGGAAAGAAAGGCAGCTCTTGGAGTGGCTACATTTTCAACTTATTGTGTTATAGCAAGTGGCTATTTACCCATCTAATGCTGTAATGCTCGTCTTTTTGTTGTCAATAAGATGTGGGAATCTGTTTGCATTGACCTTGCATTAACTCTGAAGAGGCAATTCAAAAGAACATGTGTGTCTTTAAGGAACTTGCCATCACAAGATTTATCCAAATTATTACCTCCTCCCAAAAGAAGAGACATGGCTAGGTTAGAATCGGTCCAGCGCAGGGACACAAGAGTGGGAGCCAGGATGGGAGCGGTGACAGGTGAGGCGAGACTGAGGGAACTGGGTCTTTTCAGCCTGAAGAAGAGGAGACTCTGAGGGGATCTTCTAGCAACTTCTAGGTATGTGAGGGGATGTCATGTGGAGGAGGGCTGGGACCTGTTCTCCCCTGAAGTGGAGGGCAAGACACATTCCAGTGGGGCAAAGCCCAAGGAGCCAGGCTTCAGGTTGGATGTCAGGAAGTACTTCTTGACAGTTAGGACCCCTAGAATATGGAACGGGCTCCCATGGGAGGTGGTTTAGGCCCCATCAGGAGGGGTGTTCAAGGAAAGACTGGACAACCACATGTTGGGGATGACATGAGTGGAGCTGGTTGGACTCGGGGGTCAGACTAGATGGCCCGGGAGACCCCTTCTGACTCCCTATTTTTCTATGTTTCTATTGGGCACTGCCAAAACACCTGAAGAAGAGAAGGATTAGCAGCCTTGCACCTCCAGGAATTGGCTGATTTAATTAAACTCTTGTCAAAGAGACACTAGTGCCCAGTATACTAGAAACATCCTTTTTTCCCATTTTCTTTTCTGGCTCAATTATATGTAGTCTAAGAACCATGACCCCTTGTGAAACAGATAATAATGATGCCTCCCATGGACTGGGCAAAATGGGTGCTCCTGCTCTTTACTCCATTCCTGGCTGAGGCTCCATGCATCCTATTTATTCCCCAATAACAGGTATTTATACAAGTGAATTGGGGACTGATTCTCCAGTACCTCCAAGAACACAAGCCACTCCTGAAGCTTTAAAGCAGCAAGACCAAACCTGGACTCTAACAGATGTTTCAGGTGCAGCTATTGCAACACACCTGTAGTTGGCCACATTTTTAGCTCACAAAGCAGCAATGAAAGAAAATTATTGTCGGGACCAACAAGCTGATCCAAAGCAAAAAACAGCCCGTCCATCTAAATCTGCCAAACAAATGTTTTATTGTCAATGTTTACATCTGGATTTCCCCATGTTAATTTTGCACGTGAAAACAGATTGAACTGCACATAATGTGAGCATAAAAGCCACAGCGGTCTGGCTGTGAGGGGGCACTATCTGTTTTGGTATAATGAGAGTCCAATGCAATCCACTTAGAAAGAAGGTCCAGAAATGGAGATTCCAAGCTGACCAGGGGAAGAAAGCTAATCTAATTGTGCGAAAGGGGCTGGGGGAATAAAATCTAGTACAGGTCTACAAATAGGCCGGATGGTACATAGAAAGGTCAGGTCATTACATAGGATTGGACTACACTTCTACCTTGGTGTCCTGCACTGAGCAGGAGGTTAAACCCAATGGGCTCCTTCCAACTGTACTGTTTTGTGATCTTGGAACATGGCAAGGGCCCCATATAATGCTGAACCTGGGGAACTGTGGCACTGAACAACCAAACCTGATGTAGCTAAACGATATGTTTATGTAGTGCCATTTATCAGGGGAAAATCATATTTTCCTACCACATTAAACCTGCTCCTTAGTCATGTTTTGGATCATTTATTTATTTTTTTCAATTTATATCCTGCCTTTTTCCCTCAAAGCACTCAAGGCAGCTTACATCATTCTCCTCCTCCATCTTCTCCCACAACAACAACCCTGTGAGGGAGGTGGGGCTGCACGTCTGTGACTGGCCCAAAGTCACCCAGTTGGCTCCATGGCTGAGCAGGGACTCGAACCCAGATCGCCTGAGTCCCAGTCCCACGCTCTTAACCACTACACCACACTGGCTCTCATTTCTAGAGTCTTCCATGCCCTAGATCACTTTTGGATGATAGTAACCCCTCAGCATTTTATTCTTGTACTTGGGAGTAGTTTTGGGAGATCTTTTTTCTGAAGGAAGGAGAATTATCATCCCTGCACAGCCATTATTCCTTTCAGCAGAGAAAGGCAGCAGGCTCTGTCCTTGCTCAAGACGGGGAATGGCCGCCTACATTGGTAGCTGCCATTTTGTCCCCCAGAATACCCGTGAAATACAGGATGAGATGAGGATGGCGTGTTGCACAGGGGCTCCAGCTGTGCCAGTTCACAACCCAGCAACAAACCATGGGTTCTCTGTGGACTGCCTGTGGCTTGTTAGCACAGCAGGATTCCCCCAACGTGCAACAACGGGTTGGTCCCTTCATTTCCCCTTCCAACTCTATTATTCTATGATAATCCATATTTCAACAACCACCTATGGCTCAGTGACCCATAACCCTGGTCTGAACCTAGCCCATGATTTAAATGGCAAAGAAAAAATAAACACCTGCATTTGTGCATTTTAAGGTCCTCGCTGGTTTTCACTTTTTCCCCTAGCTTTATTCTGTTTTAAACATTTTGATGTTTTGCTATTATGTTTTACTGTATAACGCTATATTTATTACATCCTGCCTTTTTTCCTAAAAGGAATCCTGTTGTATTTTACGATTTTAAATTTTGTTTTGTGAACTACAAGGAGGACTTTGGACATTGGGTAGTAGAGAAATGAAATTAAATCCATTTGCCTTGTAGACCCAAAGAGAAAATGTGTCCCCCTTTAAAGTGCCCAAAGCAAACAGAAGCAGGGTTTGGACAAGATAACCCACATGCAAGAGTCACGAGTATTATTACGTTGCATTCATACACGGCCTTTTTTCCTCTTGCAAGGAAGCAAAGGCACTTTAAACAGTCCTCTTCTTCCTCTCTGTTTAATCCTCACAACAACTAGATCACCCAAATCCCAGTTCAATATTCTAACACCAGGTTAAGTTGCCCACTGAACCACAGATTGAAACATAGATCATCATGTTGTCTGAACGCAGCTGAGATAACCATGGAGAACAACCTACAGCTCAAAACCCAACAACAAACCATGATTTTTCTGCATGGCTTGTTCAGGGCTAACAAGCCATGGCTTGATAGCACAGTTGGATTCAGACAACACAGTAACTCACATTTCAGCCAGAACACTCAACCCAACCATACACAACCCTGGCCTGTGAGTTATCAAGTGGCCTGAACCCAGCCAATGTCAGATTTGTTCAGATATCTGCTACTCAAAAGTAAAGAAGGGAACAGGTTCTTTTTAGAATTTCCTGCAGCTACTCCCAGCTTGTTGCTGCTGTGCTTCTTTCTGCCAGCTGTGCCAGATTAGGAGAAAGAGGCATCACAGATGATGAGTAAATGAAAAGGAGGAAGGTTCCATGCATGTGCATACAAAAACCTTATGTATCTACGTGAACACACAGTGTCAGGACATCTTGATTAGCAGCAGTAAGAATGAACACTCAGATCCATAGAGGAGACTCCACTGCTTTGAACCCCAGCAGTTTTATTGGTGAGAATGACCCAGGTAACCCTCTGCAGAGTACACACGACAACAGCACTGCTGTGGAGAGGCAGGCCCACCAATTACAAGATTTCAGAACATATACAGAGTGTTGCAGAGGCTTCTAGTCACCTGCACAGGAACAGGGCAGATGACGACAAAATAATGGGAACATAGAGAGATCTGCAGAGGGGACTTAATACAATAAAGCAGCAAGAATCGTGATTACAGGAGATTGACATGAGAATCAGGCATCACTGCAGGTCTTGGCTGTGAGTTTGAACACGCAAGTGAGAGTGATTGCAATACTGCAGAAAAACTAGTCTGACAGCTTTATCAGCTTTGCTGCTGTTAGCAGAATAGACATGATTAACTTTCCTTGGGAGCCTCATTCTGCAAAGGCTTTTGCGACTAAATTTAGCCACCACCTCAGGTAAGCCAAGAGTTCCAGTCTCTTAAAGGAACAGATCACAGGGAATCAAAGGAAAGCTGGCTTGGAATTCTGCTTCTTTCTAGGCAAAAGGAGCAGGGAGACTGCAGGTTTGATTTTATATCACAAAGGCACCTATAAGCAACCTTTCTCTATACAGATTTATTGATTTATTTACTTACCAACAGCAGCAACAGGGATGGCATTGGGGTTGGGGAGAGAAGTGGGATTTGCTGTCCTGGGAAGCATACGGTCTCTTCCACAAAGCAGATGACAAAGGAAGGGGAAATGACAGAGGAGGCAAGTTGATGGAGCCCTGCAAGCCACTCC